GGGACCATGGGTGGCTTGCGCCGCACCACCCACAGCTCCAACCACACACCCCGTATCCAGTGTAAACCCGAAGGAATAAGACCGGGAGGCATGTGGATGGGAGCCACGTTCTGTCAACGGAGCCGGCCCACACTCCTTCACAGGCAAACACAAGCACACTGTATTTGGGGAATCAAGCGCACACAAGGCGGTGGCTGGACCGTAGTTCGCTCCACACAGTGAATGGAACCACTCTTCGAGCCTAGCACGGCCACTAGGACCGTGCACCCCGTCCCCTCCAGCAACGACCAACTGTCTCCTGGAGCCAGTATGGACGAGGTAGTGGGCAATAGACAGGTAGGACCCTTGTCAACATGCACATCAAGCGCAGCCACACCTGGTATATCAAACAACAGCCAATCACCTGGAACGACAAGATGAAATAAAACAAATCAAATAATGCATACAGATACGGTGGAATAAATCTAAGCTGAATAAGCATATGAAGTAAGTTGGTTAGCAACGAATCCGCGATAAGGAAAAATGTCCACGTTAGTTAAAAATTCTACAAAACGCAACAAGGTTACCGAAGACAAGCGCAATCAGCGTAAGCAACCTGGCCAGTTAATAGAAGATTATTCAGGTAGGCAGAACAAACCAAATAAAGTGGAATGAAATTTGGCCAGCGTAAGTGTAACTTGGTTTAGCTCAACTGCGGTGAAGAAGCATCAAGAATGCAACATCAGCCTCAGCATGGGGCACCACTCAAACTATCATAAAGGGTACGTAAAATGTATAACTTATTCTGAAGCTCCTGCAGGCTCTTAGTAATCTATCGCTCAACATGTTCCGTCTGGTCTCTTTCCCCTATGGAGCAAAAAACCGTGGTCTCATCGATAAGCAATCTAAGATTTGTCAATGTAGTTCATTCGGTTTAAATACACAACAAGCTAAGATCGCCCGTTGGTTTAAGAACCTGACGGGCAAGAGATTCGATTTAATCAATTAATACAATGAGAAGACGGATATTGCACGATGGTATCATTTCGCACTTTCTGATCACATGCAAACGAGCGACACTGAAAGATCAAGAAAGGGGAAAATCAATGATTTCAATGGTGTCGGAAGTGGGAATGGAAGAAACATAAGGACATAAACTCAAACAATCACAACGTTTGAGACAAGTGTCACTATCCTCAAGGAAGGTTGAGGGTGGCAGTCAACTGTTTTTGTACATATAGGTCCGGAGGCCTTGCCACAACCTCCGCAGGCTTGAGTATCTTGGCCCTTTCATTACGGTAGATGACCATAAACGTCAAGTTAGAGTCAATTTGGTGCCCCGTTCCAAGTAGATGTCTGGCTATAGATGAGGCTGGCAATTTGCATCTTGACTCTTGTCCCTGCGATTGTTTTGCCACAATTGTAGCAACGTATTTCGGGATGCGCCCACTGATCCACTTGCGCAGACACCGGTCTGTTCGGCCGATACAACTGCTTCCACAGTTACAGACATAGGTATAAATGCATGGTGTTGTGGCAAAGATCGATTGCGAAGCTTAACCAGATACGTTGGTAACTTACTGGTTGTCCAAATTAGGCACAGTTTCGCAGCACTGAATGTACGTCGAAATGCTGTGGCAACACGCCGCTCTACTTGCGTAGCCACATCATCTCTTTGAATGGCCATCGGAGACAGATGGGCATTTTTGACACTGTAGGGGGCTTTGGTTTGTTCCCTTCTGTCATGCGACCGTGAAACTTAATAAACGCTGTCGGGTAGACATTTGCCTCTAGCGTCTGTGATGAACTGCAATTCAGATTCGACAACATTCAGGAGTGCACATTCCACGAGCTTGTTAGAACAGCGTTTTGACGAGGCAACATTTGTACCTGACCGGTGCGAAGCTGCTGAAGTTTCGTAGTCCCGTCCAAGTGGCTTTTCGGTAAAGAGAATGTCGTATCGAACCGTCATCAGTTCTAGTCAAAGTACATCAAAAAAGCAGGCAGTTGTTCTCTAACCCACATTGTGTTGTTTAGACTGATAAAGGGAACCCAGTGCTTCAATTAAATTGGTCCGATCAACTGTACTCCCGCTGCAATTTTCCTTATGTTATTGTACAGGTCAGATGAGGAATCACCGAAAACAACTGTTCACCTATGGTCGCATGTTCTTTAGAATAAACGAAGGATTTTCAAGATGCTGAAATTCGCCTTTCAGATGAGCAACTATGATCCGGACACTGAAAAGCGGTGGATCCAATTGCCACGACTCACATCGCAAAACTAACAATAATAGTGCGGTTGAATGAAAATAAATTGTGAATAAATGGAAGCGGAAGGACGTGCGTTAAATTAACCAGAATGGAATGAATATTAACAGGCAGATGAAAGAAGCCAAATGCAGGAACGCCACTGACTGCGCAATGTTTAACATGGTCTCCAACCATTAGTGTGGACCGTCCCGAGGCCCCCATCCACGAAGACGGCACGCACCCACCTGATCAAGTCTCCCAGTTAGTTCTTTCATACCTCTATGCCACGTCATGGACCGGACACTTCGCAGTTTCTCTAACTTGGTGCAGCCACGGAGCATAATGCACGCTGAGAAAGGAGGTCAAGGGACACACAGAGGACATGATCTATCCAACGTAAGCGATTACAGTTTAGTAAAAACTCGAGTGAGGAACCAGGTTTCTTGGCAAAAACCAACTGGCGATACTCAGCATTGCTCACCTGGTGTTCCCACTAGACGTGAGCATTACGCAGCAAGCACCGGTGGTCAAACATGGCCAGGTGGTTAATGTCTTCGCCCTGAACTGGACAAGTCTCTGGTCCATACAGTAAGACCAGCCTTACCATAGCATTGTATACACTAACTTTAACTGGCAAGTTGATATCCAATAGTTTTCATATATGGATGAATCTCTGGAAACCCACATGGGCCTTGCCGATACGTGAAGTAACGTCTACAGTGATGTGACCACCAGAGTTGACACAGATGCCAAGGTAAGTGAACCGACCCACCACTTCAAGCGACTGTTCGGAAATAGCTAAACCCGCGGGTGCGTCGGTTTAGTGCTGCAGATTGAAGGTCTGAAGCACATGCCGAAGCGTGCAGCGCTATGCACAAGTTTGTGCAGCAATGTTTGCATAGCCAATGCATCAGACGCAAGAGGAACTATCTCGTTCGCATACTGCAGGTTTGTCAGTCGGTCACTTGGTAGAACTTCCACTCCGGTAGAGTCTGAGAGTACGGAGTCACTCATAATCATTTCTATTAGTAATGTAGAAGAGGAAAGGAGATATAGGACAAACCTGGCGAACTCCAAGTATCATGGGGAGCTCTAATGCTAGCTTCCCGTAGGCCCTTATACGGCCTGGGGAGTCACGGTAGAGACTGCATAATGAAAAGAAAGTTAGCCGATATGAGCTTCATCGATAGGCAGTGCAACAAGTTAGTGCAGTCAACAGGACCGAAGGCGGCTTTTTGTCAAGGAAAACAACTACAGTCGGTCGTCTGTACGTGTCTATGCTATATATATATATATATTTTGCAAAAGAGGAGCAAGCCGGGTTTCGTCGGGGTCGTGGCTGCATCGACCACATCTTCACCTTGCGTCAGTTGTTGGAGCACCGTCACACATATTGGCGGCCCACCGTAGTCGTGTTCCTCGACATCAAAGGTGCCTTCGATTCGGTTGATCGATGTGCCCTTTGGAATTGTCTACTCAGGAAAGGTGTGCCCGAGAAATATGTAAATATTATCCAAGCATTATATGCGCGTAGCACGGGCAGAGTAGGGCTTACGGCAGGCTGTCGCCACCCTTCAATATCTCCAGCGGTGTGAGACAAGGATGCCCGCTGTCACCTTTTCTATTCAACTTCGCTATTGACGAAGTCATGGAGATTGCATTTACAGGACATGACTTGGAAGGTGTGGAGCTACTCCCAGGAGAACGACTTCTTCACTTAGAGTATGCAGACGACATTGCCCTCATCTGTGACAGCTCCCAGACGTGTCAAGCCGCGCTGGACAGATTAGCACTGGCTGTCAGCCGCTTCGGGCTTTGCTTTGCACCACCGAAGTGCAAAGCGTTCCTCCAGGATTGGCAGGGTTCGCCCCCTGTGCTGACCCTTGGTGGGGATCAGCTAGAAGTCGTTCAGAAATTCAATTACCTGGGAAGTTGTATCAGCGCCCTTGGGATCGAAGACGAGATCACGAACCGCATAGCGAAAGCTCGAAGTGCTTTTGCTAACCTTCGCCACCTATGGCGACGGCGCGACATTACTCTCGCCCTGAAGGGTAGAGTGTACAATGCAGCGGTACGTTCGACCTTACTGTACGGTTGCGAAACCTGGCCCCTAAGATCGGCGGACATGAAGAGGCTACTTACGTTCGACCATCGGTGCCTTCGAAGTTTGGCTCACATCTGGTGGGAACACCGCGTGAGTAACGAGCGTGTTCGACGCCTTGTTTACGGCCTAGGAAAAGGGAATGAACCGCTCAGCACCGTCATTTCACTCACCAGGCTCCAATGGCTGGGCCACGTGTTGCGCATGCCAGCCCACCGACTCCCTCGACGTGCGTTGTTTGCTCACCGGGGATGTGGGTGGAAGAAGAGGAGAGGTGGCCAAGCGATGACTTGGTCCAGAGGAATGAAGGCCCTCACTTCGGAGCTGGCCTCAGTTGGAGCTTCACAGCTCCCTGGTTGGGGTCCAAAAGACGGTGAACACGTTTGGCTGGATACACTTGCTGATATGGCAAGGAGCCGACCTCAGTGGCGTTCCTGCTGTGAGTTTCTTTGTCCCTCCCCATCCCTTTAGCCTCCCCCTCCACCTACGATCTTATAGCGTAAAACATAATAATTTTTCTTTTTGCCTAGTAGCCGGCTGGTAGCTTACCGGAACGATGCGTATCCGTTGCTGGTAGCTAAGCTGGCATTCAACTGTCGTATTTATTTTTCCTTTATGTATGTATGTATTTCCTTTATGGATTGCGGTACAATAGCGGAGGTGTTTTACCATCCCTAGCTGACATGTATAATGATGATGATGATGATGATATTTGCAAAAGTCTGCTAACAGACATAATGCCATCAGAAACCATGGGATTCAAACGAAAGTACAGAAACAGTACAATAAAACACAACACAACAATGTCCATGGTTTCCTCAAAGGGCGAGATACTACCCGGTTACCCAAGCCGAAGTAGGGTGTGGACTTAGGGACACCACCCCGAGCCTTTGGCTGAATAGGCTGTCCGCAAGGCAGCGGAGCGAATTCAGGGAATCGC